CATGACAATACATACTTGACTGTGTACCGCTACACATTATAGCTTCTATCGCGTCGGTACTTACGACGGGAGAAATAACTCGCCCGTTTACGATTGCATTGTTACATCTTTGTATGCACGTACCAAAAAAAAAAAAACAAAAACAATCCGTTCCAAAGTCCCGGTGTTATTTACATTCATATTTTTCCTCGAACGGTCAGTTCAATATTGACTCAGATATTTTTTCAAATTTCAAAAAATCTGAATATTAAAACGTTCCGAGTTTCCCAAAAATTTAAACAAATATTTGTTACCGAATCTACTATTTGGAACGCTTGTGATTCGTGTACACTTTCGTCTCGCATTTTCCAGCGAATTTACGATAATGCGGTCTCTTATCGAGTCATTTGCGCAGCGTATTGTTACATAAATTTGTTAAAGATGCAACGGATGTTAACGAAAACGTAGTGTTGTCGACGCGCGAAATCAATATGCCGAATAATGCTACTGCATTATGTATACGCCGGGGAGGCATTTCGTAACAAGCAATTATTCATAGTCGATCAGGCATTCGCATTTTCCGGTACAACACTTTGCGGCGGTATTATTATTCCTATCGGACCGAGTGTGCTCTAAATCTTTCTGTAAATACGGCTATTTTTAAACGTTGATAAATCGCTGGTAATTGCACCATTACAAAACGAACTCTACACAAATATATAAAACATTTCTCGCGTTTCAAAGCGACAAGCCCTCCGAAAAAGTCTAACGCTGCCAACAGCTCGATTAACGGATCAAATGTTTAATATTACGCATATTTTCTCAAGACAAACAATCTCAATAGTTCTGCAAGTATACCACGTGGTATCAGAACTTAACTTTAGCCAAGCACGCGCGAAGAATCGCGTCCTGCGTGGAATTTCGAGGCGAGTTCCACGCACAGGACCAGCTCCACGAGAGAAATTCTTCATAATGGATGTTATGTGCCATCCGTCTGTGTAAGCAACGAAAACCATTCTGTTCTCTGGAGAACGCTTAACATCCCTTGTGCTCGCAGGTGAGAACCATCAAGACTCGTTCGCTCGTTTGTTCGCCGCTTGTATACGCGTCTCTTTCCAGGCGCAGTTTCCAAAGCGACGACGGGCTTCGTGCCCGTACAACGGGATCCCTCTGCCGTGAAATAAACGCGTAGGAACGCGAGCGAATAAATTTTTTAGCCCTTTTGCCCGCGCGATCCGCCCCGCCATCGTACCCGTAGCCATTCGAAATCAAATTAGCGGAGAAAGGAAACGCGACGCGGGAAATATATCAGCGAGATAACTCGCGGGGAAACGCTGCCGTAAACACTGATTTGCATGATCGCTATTAATGGCCTTTTCACCGACGTTTCGCGACCCCTTCTTACCGCCACACCACTTTCGCGAGATTTTCTCCAACGAATGTATAAAAATTTTTTAACGAAAAATATTATCCGTTCGAGTCCTTCCAAACGCATGGCTTTCGAGGGGGATCGCAATTTTATTATTCTTTTTTGCGAAAAGTAATTCAATATACGGACTACGATTTTCTTTTATATCATCATTTTGCCATTTCTGCAATGAAAGAATATTGGAAACGTTATTATTCTGTACATTTGATACCCCGGATAAAGTCTCAAAGAATTTCGAAGGAGAAAAAAATATGCTCTGTTGGACTTTTATAATTGTCAGATATTAAAAAATTGATTTCGTGCAATTTCTCTTGAAAATACCAACTGCGAATGTGGAATGCGATCTGTCTGTCGGTGTCAGTTTTCGAGAAAATCGAGTTTTATTATCCGTCGGCGCATACGCGATGTACTACTACTTGCCTGTCGCGTCCGACCAATATTCGTTATTACTACTTGCATGGATATTTAAATCGACAGTGGTACAGTATCGCCTTTCCTACCTCGTTCTAGCTATCGAAAACATTAAAATTAACGGAAGCTATATAGTATTACACCGCTACCAAAGTACAAAAGGAATCAGCAAGTGGAAATATGAAATAATGGTCGGACAGGTCCAGAGACGTGCTCGAATTTGAAAGTCGATTTCGACGGGAACGAAGCCTCGCAACGAAACTATTACGCCGTAAATTTTCAATTTACTTTTTCCACGAATCATCCCCCGGTCGCCGGTGGTGGTCTCGCGCGAGACATCGTGTATATTCTTCGGGTGGAATCTGTCGAGCAGCGTGACTAATGAATCCAGCAGCAGGTCCGGGGAGAAACCTCGCGTCTCCTTTCCTACCTTTTTCATCTCTTTTCCGGCTTCTCATCTCTCAGCCACCCGTAATGGCCAACGCAATCAAGATCCCAGCAATATCAATAATTTCACGGGTAATGCGGTTCTCTGAGCGTAAAATGCTTAAATCCTTGTCGCGACGTATACCGTCGCCGGAAAGTACTCGGATCATCCGATGAAATAAAGAAAAATCTCGCGGCGGTTACGTTCGCTCGACTGGCCCCGTTCGATCGCCTCTTTCAACGACCGGGGCTTGCAGAACATATCGAGTGGACGCTTCGTTCCCCGATATGGGGAAACTTTCTTTCCACGGGGATCTATTTTGCTCGTTAAAAAGAAAGTGGAACGTTTTAAAAATTACTGTATTAAGAAACTAGCTTTAGGAATCTGAAATTTAAGAACCTAGTATTTGAAGTATTTATAACTTAAATAATAATTTCCAATTTTAAACATTTGAGATTCATGAATGTTCTGAACAATCTTGTTAGAATTTTTATTCCATAATATCTCTTCGGTTCTATAAAAATTACACACAAAAATACCAACTGCTCTTCCAAGGAGAACGATTATGAATATTGCTAGGCAGAATATTGGACTCTGTTTATCGATAGTTTCCGTGAGCATACTGGTCGGAGAATAACCGGGCACGAGGCGTGTTTGTTTAAATAAAATGTCGTCGAAAGGTCTCTTGGTCGGTATTAATTAAATCCGGACGATCTATCAATTCGAAAGGCGTGATCGCGGGCAGAACGATCGAAACCGAGTGGATCGTGGCGTCGAGGCGAGCGAGACGTGCGCCGCATCGTAACAGCATACCGAGCGCGACTCGCGATTTGCAATCGTTGCACGGTGCATCGTTGCACCAGCCGCGTCACGTCGTCGATCGGCCACGACGACACGCCGCACGATGGGGAACCGTGGAACGGGAGCAATTAGCAATTAAAATCAGGGGCTCGGCGATTGATCGGTCTAGCATGATACCAGCCTATCCCACGGGCCAATCGACTCTTGGATTATAATTACGGGCGCTAATTGCGCGGCACCTGCCTACCCGCCCCGTTTACCCCCACCGCCTTTCCATCTCTATCAGAGAGCAGCGGCGTGATTGGTACTCGATAGGAGCGGTTAAAATATTCCGAGAATTTCATTTCCGTGGACGGGGGTCTTCTACTCGTTTTCTCCCGTTTCCTAATTAATTGGTCGATTCGACTTTGCCCGGAACGCTCGAGGATCTCGAGACGGGAAGACGCGCGACGCTGTATAATAATTCGAGCAAACATATCGTCCTTCGATTTCATCCCTGCATGCTATAATTGAATTTTCATTGTATCCAAGTTTCCGTGCCGGGACAATGGGGCTTTATTTGAAACGATTCTTTCGCTTTTGAACGTTGTCCAAGTTTCGAGCGAAATTTGATGCAGAATCATTCATCGTGAATGCAACGGCGACGTAGTACGCGCGGTCATTTAACAATGTCTCGTTGACGATTAAATGACGTCACGGGGGAATGACTATGCTCACATCCACGGTAATGTCTGCCCCCGACTGCCTATCATGTTACAACGCGGCAGCATAAGCGGGACTCGAAATTAGGCGAGAATCTAACTCCCTCGCGATAAAATTATCGTAATATTTTTCCTTCTTAATATAGAAATCTTTAAACGTGTAATTTAATAAACGAAGGACACCTTATAATTTTTTAAATATTGTATCGTGAAGTTTTGCTAACCATTATACCTTGCGAAGTTCCTTCTATTGACTTCGACACTCGACGAATGGAAGGGTTAATCGAACGATATCGATCAAAGGTTTACTTCGTTCTTCTCCGGGGACATTCCTCGAGCGGTAACTGGGAGAAAGTTTGGCTGTCGACTGTGTTTCGGGGTCCAGGGTCGCGTGGCGAATGAAAAGAGCCTTTGCTTCGTTGGAATTTTAATAAACGTTCGACCGCGACGGGCGACACGAAAACCAGATTCCAGGACAGTTGGATCAGTGGCGCGTAGCGATTGTGTTTTCCCAACCTTTTTTGGCTTTCGAGGTACGAGGATCCCCCCGAATTCCTCTTTTTTCGACTCCCCGGAAAACCCCAGAGCGCCGTTCAAAGTTTCTCGAGAATTGCTTTCGCTTCCAAATAACTCTTTACTAAATACTAGAATTTTTATTCGTTCGAGAAATTGCCCTTTCGGTCGAATTTGATCGAATCAGTTTTGTTCACTTTATTCTACCGTGTATACAATAAAAACAATTTTAATTTTAATTCCTTGAAAAAGGGGAAATAGCATTTCCTCTGGGAAAGAGAGCAGGTCGATACCGTAATCCCAGAATCTTATGGAAATCAACGAACACGAGGGTTAATTAGGACAAAAATTGCTCTGTATACAAATTGCTGAAGAATTCAAATTGGACATGCAAGAACCGTATACTGAACCGAAAAAAAATGTAAAATATATAAAAAAATTGCCCGAATAATAAGAATAACGGAAATAAATTTTAGTCACAAAAATAATACGAAACTAATTACCAAAATTTTAGAGAGAAACTCGAAATATTTGAAAGCAGTTTTCTCGAGAAACGGAGACGTGAAATTTGTTGGAAAATCTCGTGAATTCTCGAGCATAGTCACTGGCGGCGCAGCCCTAAAGGGTTGACGGGTACAGGCGCCCCTATCGAGTCGGTATTCCCCCCACCGCGGAAATGATAGAGCCTCGTAGCCCGCGTGAAATATCGAGGCAAATATATATTTGTAACTGAACTCACGTCGTTTTGAGCGAAGGTCGGCGTAATTGGCCCATCGCTGGCTTCCCATTTGTCGGCGATCCGGATCGTCTCCGCCGTTTTCTGCTGAACCGATTTCGACTCGTCGAGCAACGTCAGCTCGTAAAACTCCTGGATATCTGCAACAGTCCGGAAAACGGGGAAGTCAAATTAATACGCTCGAAACGGTTCCCCTCTTGACGTCGATTGAAATATCGTCGTATTTACAGCTTTGTCTCATAATGAAAATTCCCGTTCGACGATCTTGCCATCCTCGGTGCATTCGATCGCGATCTCGGCAAAGAAACCAATCGATAAACGATAGAATCGAATAGAACGACCCTGAATTCAATTTAGATTCGATTTGTTGCGTTCAAGCTCTTACTGTCGTCGTATATTAATATTATTATTCAACGTTACTTCCGTTGTATGGCATCGTTTGTCAGATTACATTTCCTGATATACGATTACATGTAATCACGCTCTAATTACTGTCGCAAGGTCATTACCGTCTAATTACGTCGTAATCGTCATCGTAAATCTTTAAAGCGTGTAATAACTGTCTAGCTATCGTGTAATTACCGCGTGATTATAGCGCAATTACAGTGTGATTACGTGCAATCGTATTGTGGGAAATGTAGTCAGGCTACATGTTGCTCAATTATGTGTTTATGTATGAACGTTTAGAAATAGGTTTGTAATAGCATTTAGTTGCAAAATAAGGAATGTAATCTTCACTGATAATGTCACAGAATTACTTTTTAGCAGAGAGAATAGAATTGGTTATTTGAATACTGTAAAATTACAACGAATAGTCGAACCAGTTCGTTACGTCGATTATGAAAATATTATGACGGAGAAAACAGAGAACTATAATTTAGTTTCATTAACGTTCCCACGGTCGTGACTTCGACTTGTCGCCGTAAATAGCAAACTATGATTAAGTCTTTTCATTACATCGTTAACGAGAATCGGAGTTGCCGCGATCCTAATAAGCAACAAATAAGTAAGAGCAATTTAGCTTTATTAACTTCACCATCAGCAACACGTTGGATCAATATTATTCTACTGATGGCGTGTTTGTTTCGGTCGAATTAGCTGCACATTGTCGGTAGTTAAAGTTAATTACAGCTAGTTTCGGTATTGTGTCCGGGTAATTTTGGTATATAACGTAACGACATAACTCCGGTATTAACTTACGAAATTACTCGCGGGAGGCTAGCCTAATAAGAGATACTCCTGAGGGCGATGTTTCAAAGTAGTCGCGGAATACCGAATTATTAATCCTTTGAAGGTATTTCGAATATATTGCGAAAATTAAAACGATCTGAATTTTCAACGCGAAACGACTGCTTCCTGAATAGGCGGAGAATTCTCATTTCATTTTTGACGTAAACTTGCGCGTAATTTAGGCGATATTTAATAATCGTTTCGGGACCTTCATAATTTATAGCGCTACCTTTGAAGGGTACCAGTGGTTCGGTCGAAATGTCGAGTTTAATATCACGTTCTAATGTTTGCAAATTGAGTTGCTCGCTATACCAACGAATTTCCCATTCTTTGGACTCGAAAGCATTTAAAATAGGCAATTTGAAAACTGTCAAACTCGTAGGTAGTGAGGCTACGACGTCGAGGCGAAAATTATGTTTCATCAAATTTTATATTCGTCACGGACATCATTTGCTCGAATGGAATACAACTAATATTCAGGTAACATAAATCGAATCATTATTATTTAACAAGCATGCTGCACGTCAGCGCGTTGTTATAACTTTTGGCTTCGATCCGTTAATTATCGAAATAATGAATATCGGGATAATAATCGTCGAAAGAATATATTCCCACGCAAATAGCCGTAGTCGTTAAAATCGCGAGACGCGGGAAACAGCGCGCGAAAACTGGAGAAATTTGAAAAAAAAATAATTATTAAGCGCCGGGCGACGAGATCGTTGGAAGTTTTTCAAGATTTCCCTCACGGGCGAAAAAAAAAAAACTTCAAACTACATTTGCGACCACACGTACCCGGCCGTTAAATGCCGAAGAGACCGCTTGTTATTCGTCGCGAAAAATTCTACGACTTTAATTAACGTCCCAACCTTTTTGTCACCGCGAACAGAGGGAGCACGCTGGAGAACGGTGGCGGCCCTCTAATTTTTCGTTTTAATTCACATTTAATGACATCCTCTCTCCCCGATCCCGCGGCGTAGGCATCTCGTGGCCGCTATTTACGCGACCAACAGGAATCTTTTCCCTCCGTCCACCCTCAGGAGTGTTCGCGGACGACAAAGTAGAGTACTCGAAAAACCGCGTTCCAAAAGTTAAGGCTAGAGGGCTGGTTTTCAACTCAGGGGGGCGTAGAGCAAAAATGTCATCGCGAATTTCGTTTCGACACTTTTCATATCGCGTTATCGAGGACTGAAAGGATTTCGACGAACGGTTTCCTGTTTTACGGGAACCGGATCGTAGAAAGGCGGATAATTAATGCTAGCCGTGTTCCTTTTCGCTTCACCGTTCGAAACGAAATGAATTCGACGCATCGATGAACAGGGATGCAATTCCAGGGAAACCGGGAAACCGGGAAACAGTTTTTTCGTCGAATCGTATTTACTTCGTTTCGAAAGAAGGGATACGGGTAGAATATTTGGGGAAATTGTTTTAATGAGAAATCAGCGAGACGAGTCTTCTTTTATGGTGTACTGGTTTCGATCTCCAGATTTCTGGAACGGAGATGTAAACTGTGATCTCATGTCGGGCAGAACGTTAGTGTTATTGCGTTATACATTTTCAAACAGCTTCCCGATTCCATTGGCATACAGAACGAGCATCAATCCGAGCTGCTCGCGTCGTTTTCCCCTATTCACGGCACGCCTTCGAATACGATTCGTGAAACGTATAAGTATTACAGGAGATATTTCTCACGGAGAATGCAAGAAATATCGAAAACTTATTTCAATCTCTTTCTTCCCTCTTTTTCGACCTTTGCAAACGTGTCCCCCCATGCCAGCGACGCGAAACGATATGTAAAACGCGCCGGGAATTCATTCTTCGGTCAGCTGTTGTACATGCAAATCGTTATCCAGACTCAACTTGTTCTCCAAGTCGTAAAAAAACACAAACTAAACGTAATTCATATCGTTGTATATCACGATACGAGCGTCCCCTCGATTAACAACGTTCCCGTTCAATATGGCCTAAATAGTTTTCGAAATCTCGAATTTACGCTGTTTCCGACGTGTTTGCGGGTGATACAGATAATAAACGTAAACACGCAGCATTCCACGTGTCAGCGAATATTCGGCGCCCGGAACGTTAATAAATTTGCGTAAATATTTACTCTGACATAATTACGTGTTTTCAACGGTGCCATGACACATAATTACAATGAACGGTGACCACTACTAATACGGGAATATTTCCAGGAATTTGTCACGCACACTTTTTCTCTCGAGCACCTTTGAAATATTTCTTGGATATTTACACTAATACTCCAATTAAACGACTGGAATTATTACTAGACTCGAGAAATTCTATGTCCCAATAAATTACAAAAGTGCAAACGTAACTAAAATTAATCAGACACTTTCGATAACTTAATATCTCTGAAATAGTTTGCTGACAAATTAAAACGTCGACGCAGTATTTAGTGGAATCGATGCATCGTCGAAGCATGGGATTACGGAGAGGAAAAATTCGTCGCGCTGGACCAAACACCATCGGTGAAAAAGGAAACAAAGCTAAAAAAAAAAAAACGGAAAAAAAAAACTACGACATTCTGAATTTCACGGGAATTTTTTTCATAGCGAAGAGGCTTTTTCCGCCAATTTATTCCGCGCGTACCCTTTCCCCGACAGCGTGTCAAAGAACTTACAGTTACGCGTTCCCGGCAAAAACATCGTCGCGTAAACGAAACCGTTTCCGCTAATTTTTCATCGCCTCTCCGGCCCCTTTCTTCTCGTCGTTTTGTTTCGGTTCCCTCGGCCCAAACAGATTCACTCCCCCGGCAAACGCATTTGTCGCTTTGAAGTTTACTCGACTCCGCGTTTCGCGCTTAACATCGCCTACTTTATCCTTCCACTTCCTTCTCGTGAATTTATTCCAACGCCGCGGGGAAAAACGTTTTTTCACCGGCAACGAGAATTCGACTTAATTCGAGGCCCCCCCAAGAGTTCTTTAAAATACGAAGCTTGCAATTATATTTGAAATTAGGTAGTTTCTCGATAATAAACTGTAACGTCTCTAATTCGTACGATCAAATAGAAAGAACATTCAAGTAAATGGAACAAAGTCTAAGTCTGAAGATTAATCCTGGTGAGGGATAGGAGGATCGATGTTTGATCAACTCTGACTTTAATTTCGGAGAAGGGAGAATTCCGTGCTGAATTCAGCGGTTCTCCAGAAACACTTTCTGTTTACCATTATGTCCGACAAACAATTACACTCGTTCGGTCCTCGAAAGCGTTCCATAAAAAGCAATTCCTCTCGAGTTTCTAGCACCCGGAACGACCAGGTAACCGCGCTCCGGCCCCTCCTTTGCGTCGTTCTCGGCCGCAAGAAAGAAAAATAGACCGCCATTGTCCCTTCCTTCCGCTATCCACTGGAGCCCCTCCTTTATCCATTGTTTTCCTTTCCGCGATTCCGTCGTAGAAAAACGGAAGGAAAGCGGATGTAAAGCCGTTCCGCGGCGACTCGCCACCGGAGACCGATGGCTTCGTTCGACCGTTTACGCGCGAAATAATTTTTAATTTTCACCCAAGGCCCCGGGGCCCCCGTGAAAGGGCTCTAACGTCGTCGGTCGCGTTATCTCGATTTCCTTCTTTCCGCCCTTTTTTTTTTATCTCCGTTTTATGCCGTCCCGCGGACAAAGCCAGCGAGGCCGTTCAAGTTATATACAGAAACGGGCGTATCTCCTATGAACAGCCCCCACGGCTTGGTGTTAACGAGCTCCAGTTTATCGTCGTCGTCGTCGTCTTCGCGAGACGCCAGACGTCCTCACGGACCGTCCATACCCGTGAAAATTACCTCTCGTCGTTTGCTCGTTAATATTAGAAAAGAAAACGAAACTACTTTGTAAACACCACAGTGTAACAAATAGAACTTGGACAAATTCATAAGAAAATTAACTTTTCATTTGTACAGGATG